TGGTTCTAATTTTGGTGGAACCACAAATGCTGTTGTGGCTTTTAAAGCATTAAACAAAAGAGTGAAACCAGGGTAGCCCTTAAAACTTAAAAACTGCACTTGGGAGGCAGAGGCAATTGGATCTCTGTGAGCTTGAGGCCAGCCTGGTTTACTGAGTAAGTTCCAGGACAGCCAGAGTTACACAGAGAAACCCTGTCTTGAAAATCCACAACACCAAACCTGGAAAACTAACTGCTGCTTATGAAGGTGTCTGACCACCAAGTCAACAGCACAACCACACAGAAATGAGTTATTCCAGAAGGCCTCGGGTAGGGCTCTGCTGACATTGCCACAGGACCCTCAGTTGCATTCAAGGATGATGTTGGGAATGCTTTGATATGATCATGTACAGTAAGGTACAGGAAGTTATTTTGTTAATGATATATGGAACCCAGCTTTTCAATGTAAGAGATACATTGAAAGAGATACATTGAAAGAAAAAGAAAAATGAAAAATATAATATTAATCTGAGAGATGTTTGGGATGTAGAGACCTAGAAAAAATAAGATTCTCATTTTAATTGATGTAATTAATCAATTAATTGATTAACTTATGTTTTGATAATATTGGGAATTGAATGTATACTTCGTCTGTTTCAGGCAAGTTTTATACCACTGAGCTATATCCCCACTCCACCTTTTTAATATTTTATTTTATGTTTTTAAACAGGGTGTCATACAGCTTAGGAGGCCATGTACTCCTGATCCTCTGCCTCCCCTTCCCAGGTGCTGAGATTTCAAGCATGAGCCATCATTCCTTGTCCATACCCATTTCTATAACAACAACAACAACAATCCAAATATGCAGCAAGTTCATAATTTTTCTTGGCAGCACCAGATAGCTGAGGTCCCTGGGAAATCGGCCAAACTAAACTGCAAGGGGAGAATTGGATGTGGCTCACAGTAAGTGTTGATACTTACTTGGGGGAGGCAGAGGCAGGAGGCATAGCTCCCTGTTGTTATTCCCAACAGCCAGAGGAGTTGGCCGGGACTTTGAGGCCCAAACCTTAGGCTTTGATGCAGAGAAGGATTTCAGGACTGGCCAGCTTATGAAGCAGAGTTGGAGTTTATTAATATTTTCATGTTAGCTTAAACACAACGCTTGAGGAAAAATTAGAAGCACTCAGAAGAAACTAAGACACACCCAGAGAAACAGTGTGGGCTTCTCAGAGAGGAGTCTCAGGAAATGTGGCTCTCCCTTGAGTAATTTTACAAAACTCATGTACTGGATTGGGGGCAGTGTTTGAAGCTACTGTCTTTAAAGAGTGTCGGAGAAGCCTAAATGAGCTCATAGGGTGGTTCCTGGGGGCACTGCACAAGATTACAATTGACAAAGTCCCCAAGACACAGGAAAGTAGGACATCTTTACCGCAAAGTTAATGGTCCTTTTTGAAAAATCCCAGGAGATGTCTAGGGAAAGGTATTCAGGCCTTAAGCCCGACACATTGTTATCTGAACATAAAATATCTGTATATGAAAAGAATATTAACTGTATGTCTGCAGCCTTTGCAGGAAATGTTAATTAATTCCATAGAAGTTGTATTTCTTCACTGGTGAGAGGCTTCAATCTGACTTCAGAGTGGGAGGTTCTTCTCCCCTCCCGTGTCTCCATCATGTTCTCTTCTTTCTATCTTGCCTCAGCAGGACAGCTGCACCTGCTGAAGTGAGGTAACCATATACCTGGAAAGCCTCCTAGAGCTGTTGACAACTGGCAATAGCAAATGAGTTGGGGAGTTGGGGGAGGCTTAGAAGGCCACAAATACAGAAAACTCTATTATCATAAGTGGATGCTCACAAAAGGCTGGCAGACCCTAAGCCAATATCCCTTACAGTGCAGGCATATGGAAGGGGCCAGCTGCTGAGGGTTCCCTCCAGTTGACAAATAAAAGCCAGGCCAGGTTATTCTTCTGTATCCCCTGAAACAAGAAGTTTCCGGGGGAGAGGAGTATGGGAGTGTATGAGTGATATTGGGTCCAAGACTGCAGATGTTGAGGAGGTCAAAACCCCTGAGAGGGTCACATCCCCAAACATAGGGTACTGCCTAAGATTGGGACTGGTCCTAAAAACCGACTGTCCCCTTGCCTCCCACTACCATGCAAACAAGCATCTAGTAGTAACTATAGTGGAATACTGCCCAGAGTGTGGGGAAAGGATCCTCTGGCCAGTGCATCACAGAGGGGACCTACACTGAGGACAAAGAAGCTCTTTGGAAAATAATTAGCCTCCACTTTAAACATGGTATTTCAAGAGAAATTGAAAAATGATCCACGCACGGTAACCATAGCAACAAAAGATTTGAACATCAGCAGACTGCCTAAGACTAACCAAAAGCCAAACTGAAGGCCTAGCAAAGCAAAGACAGCTTTCAGATACCAAAATCCTCAGTGCCTATTGACAACACAGCGTGTAGACTTTAACAAAACCCTCACACAAGGGGAAATGAAAAAGGTGAACAAGGCACCAAACAGACAAGACTCCGAGTGACAGACACTGGGACCAGCCAACTGGTCCCAACTTGTTTCTAAACATTGATTTTTAAACAACTTTTTGATGCTTAAAAGTCCAAGTGGGAAAAATGGAAAGCATGTCTGGTGGAGAACTCCAGTAATAAGACAGAAACTTTCAGAATGACCAGTGACCAGACTAGAAAGGACACAGATACATCGAGAATAGGGAGGGCCCTTGGTGAGGGTGCTAGTTCGTTTTCTACCCACTTGATCCAAGCTAGAGTTATTTGGGAAGGGCGAGCTTCAGCTGAGAAAAGTCACTCCGCCAGATTGGCCCATGGGCAAGCCTGTGGCTTTTTTTTTTTTTTTTTTTGGTTGATGATTAACGTGTGAAAGTCCAGCTTGCTGGGCGGTGGCACCCTCAGGCTTGTGGTCCTGGGTGCTATAGGAAAGCAGGCTGAGCAAAGCATGGGAACCAGCCAGTAAACAGCACCCCTCCATGGTTTCTGCTTCAGGGTCTGTCTACGATTCCTGTCCTGAGCTCCTGGCCTGATTTTGCTGGATGATAAACCGTAGCTGTTGGAGGAAATCAACCCTTTCCTCCCCAACTTGCTTTTGGTCATGGTGTTTTATTGTGGCAATAGAAATCCTACCTAAGACAGAAATCAGTAGATATTGCTGTGACAGACCTGACCATGTTTTGAGGAGGACTGTGGAAGGACTTTGAGACATTGGGCTAGAAAAGCCAGTGAGTGCTCAGAGTTTAATGAGCTGTCTGGGAACTTGGTGGATGACACTTAGAGCAGTACAGATAATCGAGGCCCGGCCTTTGAAGTTTCATAGGGAAGTTTGAAAGATTCCCTTCAAGAATCTCAGACTGTTCAACATTTTGAGCAACAATCTGGGGCTCTGGTGAGCTGAAGCTAAAGAACCAGCTGTGGTTAAGAAGAGACCTGCATCACATCACTGAGGCAAACTCTTTGGGAAAGTGTTTCTCAAGGGCAGCACACAGATGCTGTGGGACAGAGGGGCCATAGCTGTCCTTTGTGCTGACAGCTTAACTCTGTGTATCTAAGAGTCCCTCAGATGGTCCTGGATTTGAAGGCATGAAGGGGTCATGGAGATCAGCTTGGCACCAGGAGAGGCCATCAGTGAAGATTCAACCTCAGTTGTAATAGAAGCCTCAAGTCTGAAGAGATCATGGAGAGAAGTTAAGGCTTGGTACTGTGTAGCAGGGTCAAAGGTCCTGAAGAGATTCCAGGAGAGGCTATCGCTGAAGGTGCAGCCCAGGTGCAGAGACTCCAGCAATTTGGAAATGCCAGTACTGTGGAATGACCACTGAGGGCAACAGCAGATGTGGAGTGCAGATAACTGGAGCTTGGGAGACGAGCTGTGTATGCTATGAATGGTAGAGCCAGAGAAATGCAACTCTCCAAGCCCTTTGGAGCCCAAAGGATAATTTCTGAATGCCAGGCATTAGACACTGAGTTATTTACACTTTCAGAGCTTAGTTTTACATTGTTCATATTGTGACTGTGCCCTGGTTATTCTTTCTTGGAATACAAAAAAAAAATATTTAACTTGCTTTTTAATTTTACAGGAACCCATGTTCGGATATCTTAGAGAAACTTTGGAATTGTACAGATATTTTGAAGTTTTAGAAAGACTTTGAATATTTCAGAGAGACTGGATATTTTAAAAAGACTCTGGGGATTTTAGAGAGACTGGATGTTTTAGAGAAACTTTGAACTTTGGCAGAGACTTTGGGTATTTTAAAGAAGCTAAATTTTAAGATGTTTGAATTTTTAAAGTATGCAGGACTTTCAAAGGCTGGAATGTGTTTTATTTTGAGGCACTTATACTAATGTCTCAATGAGATCTTGGGGATAAATAAGAAAGGGAAGGTTATAGTTCAATAAAAATGTGTTCATGTGTCAAGTTCACAAGGGATCAATTGTACCCGCTAGTTTTTGAATCAACTTGACACACGCTAGAGTTATTTGGGAAAAGAGAACCATAGTTAAGAAAAAAATCACCCACCAGAATGGCTCATAGGCAAGCCTGTGGGTATTTTCTTCATTGATAATTGATATGGGAGGATCTAACTCACTGTGGATAGTGGCCCCGTGAGCTGGTGGTCCTGGAAGCTATAAGAAAGCTGCTCTCATTTTTAGCAGCTCTTTAGAGAGGGATGGATAAATATTTGGAGATCATCTTCCACTTTTAAGACAAAGTATTCAGGTGGGTGCTGTGGTCTGTCAACAGTTTTTCCTATAAGAAAGCTCTTTGCAATTTGAAAAAGAAAAAGAAAACAGGAAAGAAAGGGATTCTGTGATTACTGTTTCCTGGTCATACAAGATGTACCCCACAATGTGCACCTAGAAATGCCACCCCACATTCTACTCCGTAACTTAACTGTTCATGTTTAATGCCATGCCCACATACCACTTTCAAAGCCTCACAGAATGGGACTCCATGTTTCATCCAACGGGACTTCATGTTTTACCATGCTTACCACATTGATAAACAGTGTCCTGCTTGTTTCTCTGGAATTCCTCATGGAGCTTCTCAGTTCATACGTCCATCCTGCCCTTCTTACTTACTGCGTGTGCAGTAAGTAATGATGAGGAGTGTTTCCACCGTGAGCATTTCTTAAACACGTACTCTTTCTGTGAGTCTTCAAGCCCCTCTTCTCGTTCTATATAAAACATATAATAAATTGTTGTAACTACAGCCGCTGCTGTGCTGTGGAACTCTAGAACTTCTCCTGTCTAATTATTTTGGCACATTAGTTTCTAGTGTTTCTTCCCTCCTCTTCCCCTCCCCCACAGGACAATTGTTTTAAAACCCTTTACTTAAATCAGATAAAATCTTTTAACTTCTACATATGACTGATTACATGAGGCATTTGCCTTGCGGTATTTGATTTATTTCACTTAATGTAATGGCCTCCAGCTCCATCTACATTGTGACAAATGACAAAATTCTATTCTTTGTGGATACACAATATTCCATCCTTTAAAAAATCCATCTGTCAGCCAGGTGGTCGTGGTGCATGCCTTTAATCCCAGCACTCGGGAGGCAGAGCCAGGCGGATCTCTATGAGTTCGAGGCCAGCTTGGGCTACAAAGCGAGTTCCAGGAAAGGTGCAAAGCTACACAGAGAAACCCTGTCTCGAAAAACCAAAACCAAAAAAAAAAAAAAAAAAAAAAAAAAATCCATCTGTCTAATGATAAGGACCGTGGTTAAATCCGTATCTTGGCCATCAAATTTTCCTCTGAAATCTCACAGATACAAAACCCCATATGCATCTAGTTCTAGGAGTATTAATTCTTTTCAGTGTTTCTGGCTTTTGTATGCGAGGACACTCATCAAACTCCCAGGCAACTCTCTCTCACCGCCCGACCTCCACCTGTTCTTCTGCTGCAGAAAGCAGCCTCAAAGAAGTACTCCCAGTTCAGCACTGACGTGGCCGAGGCCATCGCCTTCTTTGACTCCATCATCGCAGAGCTAGAGACAGAGAAACGGCCGAGGACTGCTGAGGTTGACCGGCCCAATGAAGATGTGGACTTTGATGGTGAGCGCTGGGAGGGGAGGTGGGGCTGTGAGTGGGCTCCTCCGGGGATGGCATCAGGGACCACACCTTCTTTGCTGAAAGGAACTCCTTCACTGCCTCCGTCGCCCTGGCTGTCACTGCCCCAGCCTCCACCTGTGGTGTTTTTTATTTTATTTTATTTTTTTACTGCAGCTGCCAGGCTGGGACCCCTAACACTCCGTGAGGGAAAGCGAGAGGAAATGGCTAAAGAGAGAAGCTGTCAGTGGGGAATGTTGTCATACGGAGGGACGTTTCTGTTTTGCAAGATGCAAACAAAATTCTGGAATGTGAACATTCTTAACACTACCTAATGGTGTACTCAAAATGACTAAACAGGCCGGGCATGATGGTGCACACCTATAATCCCAGCAACTGGAAGGGTAAACCCTTTAGGAGGACAGACAAGAGTTTGGAGGCCAGCCTGGGCTGCCTAAGGAGACTTTATTTCAAAAAGCCAAAACTCAGGGCCTAAATATATGGCTCAGTCTATAATGTGCTTGCCTCAAAAGTGTAAGGACCAGAGTTCAATCCCCAGCAGCCAGGTATGTGTGACAGTGTGAGCCTATAATCTTAGTGCTCAGGAGGCAGAAACTGGAGGATCCCTGGGCCTTTTCAGACAGGCTGGCTGAAATAGTGAGCAGGATAGTGAGAGACCCTGTTTAAAAAAAAAAAAAAAAAAAAAAAAAAGCCGGGCGGTGGTGGCACACGCCTTTAATCCCAGCACTCGGGAGGCAGAGGCAGGTGGATCTCTGTGAGTTCGAGGCCAGCCTGGGCTACCAAGTGAGTCCCAGGAAAGGCGCAAAGCTACACTGAGAAACCCTGTCTCGAAAAACCAAAAAAAAAAAAAATAAAAAAAATAAAAATAAGCAAACAAAAACAAAAACAGGGTGGATAAATTGAGGAAGGCATGCTCAAAACTAAACAAACACAGAGCCCAAACCAAAACTATGTAGTGAGGACCTGTCTCAAAAGGAAAAAAGGAAAAGAAAAAGGAAAAAACCGAAGGCCAGTGTTGTGTGACTTCTCCTGGAGAGACCTAACACAAATATGTCTACTTACCCTGGAGGCTAGGGCCTAGACAGATCACCCAGGACAGACCACAGTAACTATTGCACAGATGTCCACATTGGTGAAGCAATGAATTTTTACTGAGGTGATGAACAGGAGGATGGGGAGGGGTTACTTACAAAGAGCAGGGGTAACTCAAAAGCAGCTGCGTTGCCAGGAAGGCCACCCCAACACAGGCAACAACATCTTTTTCTCTAAAGTTTGGCTGCTCAGAGTCTCCACCCCAGCAACTGTTTACAGTTATACAAACTATAAAGATACATAAATTATAAGTGCTTATAATCCTTTCTACAGGGTTGGGTAGGGGACCTCCAGAGTCTTCCAAGCTTTTGTTCTGACAGGTGTGACCTCTTGTTCACTGATGCTGGTGAGCACCTCCCTCCCCCAGGAAATGCAGAGAGAGGGTTGCAATTGGGAAGAATGAGCCACACAACAGCCAGTGGGTGATGGGGCTCAATGGCAAAAGTGCTTGAGCCTGAAAAACTGAATTCACTCCCGGAGAGAACTGACTCGGGAAGGTTGTCCTCTGACACCCCCCACCCCCCCCCACCCCCCCCCACCCCCCCGCCCTGCCAACAACAGCAGCAACAATCTCTGTTCATTGTAAAAACAAATGAACCAAACAGCACACTGAAGTATTAAAACCTCTAGGTGCTGGGAGCCACAGCTCAGCAGTTCCCAGGTGATCCTGCTCTCACAGAGGACCAGAGTTCGGTACCCAGCAGCCACACTGGCCTCCTGTAATTCTAGCTTCAGGGGATTCAACACTGTCTTCTGGCCTCTGACAGTGCCTACACTCATGTGCACACAACTAAAAGTTAAAACCAATTAGAAAAAAGAAACTAAAAGACAGATACCATCTGTAGGTCACGGCCACAGTTAACACTTGGGCATATGACTTTCCCAAAGGATTTTCAACACACTCAGATTTTATTTATATTTTACTTTTAGCAAAAATGGAATCTCTTTGAACAATATGCCATGCATTGGGGCACCCTTCCGGAGTCAAGAGTCAATGAGTACAGCTCTTGGCACTGTCCCAGCCCTGGGCTTTGCTGAGTCTGACTCCACCCCCAGACCCCTGCAGCCTCCTGCAGAACTCACGGCAGTGAGCCTGTCTTTCCTTGCTGGGGATCCCCCATCTGTCCATGCTCTCCTTTACCTTCTGCTCCCCCGATAGTGGCCAGCTGCCCAGGTCACTTGCTTCTCTTTTCCAGTGGCGACCAGTTCACAGGAGCACAGCTTGCACTCCAACTGGATTCTGCGGGCGCCACGCAGACATTCTGAGGCCATCGCTGCTCACGCCACCGCAGACAGTCGGTTTCGAAGGAGCACGGAACACAGGGTCACGGGCACCCAGAGGAGGCTTGAGAGACACCCCATTTACCTGCCAAAGGCTGTGGAAGGGGCATTCAACACCCTGAAATTTAAGCCCAAAGCCCACAAAAAAGAGTAAGTGCTTGGACTTAATAGAACCAAGACATTCTCAATGTGCTCCAGACTCATGGGGTGTTCCAGACTTAGTGTGTGTTGGTCCCTCATCTGATGTGCAGAAGTTGTTGATTTCATGGGGGGTGGGGCTTGGCTGAGATGTTTTCCCACAGTCTGTACTCCAGCAGCCTGGCTCACTGCTGTCCTCCGTTCTGACCTTGGTTCCACCCTGCCTGCCGGCTTCCTCTCTGGCCTGCTGCTTATACCTTCTGCAGCTCTCCAGTGACAGCTTGGGTTGTACAGACAGAGCAGCAAGCAGCAAGCACCGTTATGCTGAGACACTGTCGCCTTGGAAGGCATTGATGAGCCTCTGCTCTGCAGAGCAGGACTTCCTGCTGGTCTGGCCCCTGTAGGGACATACTGCCACTAGCTCCTGTGGGGACATATTGCCACTGGCTCCTGTGACCTCTCTGCTGCCAGACCCTTGTCTCTCAAGACTAGTTCCCATGACCAACTCCCACGTCCCCCTTGCTTTGTGCAGGGCAACCACTGAGGCCGAGCCACAGGACACAAGGGCCTGTTCAGACTCCGTGGCTGTCCCTTTACCTCTTTATAAGTCACTCAACTCTGGTGGATCCAGGGTTTCCTTGATAGCATTTTACTCCTATAGTAATAAGCCATGTGCTCAACATAGTGAAGCCATGGCCCAGTCCTCATCCTTGACCTTCTCCTTCGAGGCCAAGGTCAATACCCACTAAAGTCCACCCACACCCCACCCCGTATCACTTTAAGGCCCAGAACTGGGGGGAGGGGGCGGGGACAACCTGATGTTCTCAGCAGAAATGGTGGTAATTTGGGTGCGCCTTCCCTCTGTGTGGTGGCCAGCTTGAGCCTGACCATCTCCCTCACCCTTCCTTCCCTTGCAGCCTGGGGAGCTCCAGACAGATCCTCCGCAGCTTCTCCAGAGAAGACATGGAGTGGGATGAGGAGTTCTTTGCACAGGAGTCCCCCGGCTCTTTGGAAGAGGATCATTTTGAGGCAGAGCATCCCAAAGGGCAATGGCTGATTCGAGAAAGACTCTGGGAACGGACAGTGTCCTGACTTGACTTGTCTCAGCTTGGGTCTTTGTCAGGTGGTCTGCTTTTGGGCAGTGTGAGGTGTTCGGTAGAGTTAAAAATGAAATTATAAACTTATAACACAACCAAACTCCCACACTGCCTGTCGGTGACCAGCTAGTGCCAAAAAGAGCCGGAGCTTCCCAGGGGACACGTCCTGGGGGATTCAGAGACTGGGCGCTTCCCACGGCCGTGGACAGGAGAGAAGGAAAGGAGAGCTGGCTGCTGGTGTCCCAGAGCAGAGGCACAGAGAGGCCTTGAATGAGTGACCCTGCCACCCTGCCTTGCCTGGCATACACAGAAGATGGCGTAAATGGCTGCATATAATGTGCTCAGAACTGGAAAGGAGCCACTCTAGAGTTCCGGCCTAAAATCTCCAAGGATGTGTCTCAGAAGCCCAATGGGGAAGTCCTGAGGTCACCTCCATCCATGCAGAATGCAGTCAAGAAGGCAGCCCCTTCTGCTCTAGGTCTTTCTGGGACTTTCAGAAACTCTGCTGCTAGGTTAGCCTGAAAACGGGGCCAGTATCCAGGCGGTAGGGTAGAGAATGGTTCTGTCAGGCCTTGCCTTGTGATCACACTGTTGCTCAGAGCTCCTGCACACAGACAGCTGGTTCAAGGAGGTGGAGGTAGGCAGGTCTTTCTCCTTTCTGACTCACACAAATAAAGCTGTATCCATGCAACCAGCCTGTGACAGGCTCTGCACCTCCCACTTACAGGTAGCTAGAAGCATAATGTTCTTTCTGTCTAGGAAGAATTTTTGTAGTTCAGACATTGTTTGTGAAGAGATACTAGCCCACTTGAGCGTGGCTCTGGCAGGCCTTGCCCTTCCCCCATTCCCTCTGCCTTGCTAAAAACCATTAAATCACATTCCTAAAGCGAGCCACCAAGTCTATTCCCTTACTTGGCCACTTCCTCTCCTGAGGCTGACTACTAAGGTCCAGCTATCAAAAGATTAAGGTCCAGCAATCAAAAGTCCCCTTGGCCCACCTAATTAACGTGCTCAGTCAAAATCAAACACCTCACCCTAACACGGGGCCTCCCCCTCTCCCTTTATAAAATGTCATTTTCTTATGTGCCACATCTGTCTCCCCTCTATCCAGAGACAGTCCTTTGCTGTCAACCCCCACCCACCATCTGGGACAAATACGCCCCCCCCCCATTCCCTTCTCCCTCTTTCCTCTGTCTCCTGTCTTTGTCTCTTACTCCCAGTCCTCTGTCCCACTGCAGCACACACACCTCCTTTGTGTCGAGCACTTGGCCTTGGGGGTCCTGAGCTGCCGCTTTCCCTTTCAGTCTGACTCTCAGCTCCACCTTCAAGGTGTGCCTTGTGCACACCCCAGCAGACGCTCTTCATCTGGCCACAGAGCTGCACCCGGTCAAGTTTTAGGGCCACTGGTTACAGAAGACTCTACACATTGACCTTCCTGCTTTTTATCTTCTCCAAATACTAGCCAGCTGTCTTACTTTTCTGCGGTCACGATGAGACATCATGACCAAGGCGACTTATAGGAGAAAGAGTTTATTTGGCGCCTACAGCTGCAGAGGTTGAGTCCATGACCACCATGGGAGGGAGCAATGGCAGCAGGCAGGCAGGCACACTGCTGGAGCGGTAGCTGAGAGTTCTCATCTTGAGACAACCACCACAAGACAGAGCGGGAGCAAGAGCGAGAGTGAGAGCCGGGTGGGGGGTGGGGGTGGGGGAGGTGGGAACAGAAGAAGCTCCTGTTAGGGAATAGTTTCTGCTTTAGAAACCTCAAAGCTGCCCCCAGTGACACACCTCCTCCAACAAGGTCACACCTCCTAATCCTTCCCAAACAGTTCCACCAACTGGGGGGCCCCAAGTACTCAAATATATGAGCTTATGGAGGCCATTCTCATTCAAACCACCACACAAGGCATATACCTGCTTAACTTCTGAGAGAGCTGAGATCAGGTATACTGTTCATGTGTGCATGCCTGTGTGTGTGCGTGTGCGTGTGCGTGTGCGTGTGTGTGTGTGTGTGTGTGTGTGTGTGTGTGCCTGTGTGTGTGTGCGTGTGTGTGTGTGTGTGTGTGTGTGTGTGTGTGTGTGTGTGTGTGTCCAGCAGTGATTCTTCAGGGAGCATGCCCATGAATGCTAGCCTGCCGGGGACAGGGAGGCAGACATAAAAAGAGAAGCATTGTCTAAATCAAGCCAGGGACACTCTAGGCTTAGTGGCCATGACAATTGCATAAAGGCCTGTGTGATGTTCTTTAAATTAAATAGTAGAAATAAAAACTTTTATTTCTGTGATCTCGGGTGTCTCAAGCTGAGAATCCTTAACTCAGAAGAGGAAAAATCAACAGCCACTGTGCAGCAGCTGTAAGAACCTCAAGCCAACATGTTTCCTAGGAGAACCCAGAGTCACCCTCAGCGTCCTCCTCTCCAGGGTTTTGCAAGTGCCAATATCAATGTCAGAGCGGTGGGGGGGATGGGACAGAGCGGGGAGAAAGGGAGAAGTCGTTCACTTGTTGCCTGACCAGAAAAACAATGTCTGGAGAGTTGTTTAATGGACAGCTTTCATGCTGTGGTCTATCTGCACAAATGTGTTCCCTGAATGTCACTTTCTTTCTCTGCTGGGAACACACTAGGGTAGGGGTAGGGAGTCCACTCAGCCTTACCAGGCAACAGTTTATTACAGGCCACCCTGATTTACCATGGGGAATGCACTGAAAATCTTGTGCTTACAAATCTGAAAGGAAGCAGAATAGGGAAGATGCTCAGAGCCCACTACGATTTCTTCTTCTCTAGGGTTTCCTCTCTGCGGACATGAGGCTGTGCTGGTCTATTTCTCATGGGGTTTTGGATGCTTTTGTCTTTAGTAAGACCCAGCCTGACTGAGAAGTTATAAGGGTTGAACTCATGTCTTATGGAGCAGCTTTTCTGTCTGCTGAAGAAAGTTGGTGGTAAAACCCAGAAGCTGGGCTGTGGCTCACCAATCTTGGAGAGGAAATACAAGGATTTGAGATAAGTCAAACTGGAAATAATAAAGCCAATTTGGAAAACCAAGATGCTTTGACTGTTTTTTGTCCTTCTCAGGGTGATCAACTATTCAAGGGGGTCCGCTGGTCAAAACTATCTTAGTTTGGGTACATGAAACCCTGCAAAGATGGAATGCCAAAGGCCAGGGGTACATAATGACGCCTTAGTCAATGAAGTTCTCGCCTTGCAAGCATGAAGACCCAAGTTCAATCCCTAAAACCCATGATAAAATTGTTTTTAAGTAGAACACAATTTCTTAAAGCCAGGTTTGGTGGCACACACTTGTAATCCCAGCACTGGAAAGGCAGAGGCGTGTGGATCTTTGGGACTCCTGTAGTTCCTTAGCCTAACCTATTGGTGAGCTCCAGACCAATGAAAGATCCTGGCTCAGACAAAAAGCAAGGTCGATGGTACCTGAGGAAAGACACTTGAGATTGTCCTCTGGCCCTTACACACACATATGTGCACACACACACATGCACATGTGTGCATACACATGGGCACATATGTGCAGGTATGCACATACCTAAACACATATACATATAAATACACAAGAAAAAAGGAAGGAAATGAAAGAAAGAAAGAAAGAAAGAGAGGAAGAGAGAAAGAAAGAAAGAGACAAACTCAAAAGAGAGCGAGAGTCCCTGGCCTTTGGCCTTCCTGTCCCCTCACTCCCAACCTCTCACCCCAGGTAAGCCTCCTGCGGCTGGGTTGCTATGCAGCAGCCCAGAACACAGCCACCTGGGGGTAAGCCAGAG